AAAAAAAAAAAAAAAAAAAGATTGTTAAATAAACGATGATCAGAGCTGATCAGGAATAATAGAATTTGAATATTGAGACTTTAACCAAACATTCAAATCGATGTCAGTTTGGGTCTGTAGCTGTTTTGATCAACTTTAACAAATGACACTGACTGTTTTTTTGTTTCTTCATCAGTGGCAAACCTTCGCCTCCTGTCCGTTTTGAGGAGGCGAATAAAAACATTCACTTCCTGTGGCGAGGCAAATTGCAGCGTGGCTTTTGTTTGGAGTTTAACTCTGGTGGCCGTGCCCTTACACAATTATTCTGGCATCATATTCAAAGCGCCACAGTCAGTGGTCACAGACCAAAATGTCTCTGGATGAAACTGGAGAGACAAAAACCCTCAGAGCAACAAAATGCGAATCAACGAACGCTATAAACTTTGTTGTTGTTGGTTCTTTTCCGTTTCGTTAAATACTTTCTCAATAGACGGTTAAACGGACCTGTCAACACTAGCAGCAGCCATCTTGGTTGTTAATGAAGACGCTTTAGCGACACAATGTGTGTCGGCTGTCAGGCATCACAGATAAATATTTGTGATCGGCCCAACCCGTCTCAGGACGAATGGAGATCAGTCTGAACGAGGCGCGGGGGTGGGGGAGTGAATAAACCTGAGTTTGCTGACTGGTCTGGTTTCCAGGCTGCGACACAACACCACCCTGACCAGTGTAGATTACAATCAGGTTTTAGCATTTCTAAAAGTTCAAGGAAGCGGAGCTGTTCCATTTCAGCTCGTTCACACTCGGGACGGCTTGTGTTGGAAGAGTCGAGTGAAAGATTCCAGTTTGTCTGTTCGGGGAACAATCGGCACAGAGCAGCTACGGCCCAGAGGTTTAATAAACTGGATTTAAATGTGAGTGTAAAAAGAAGGGGGGGGGGTTGTTTTGTTTAAATCACTGAAGCTTTAACAGCAAAAATAAATCACTCACGTAATGTGGATTCGTTCACATGCGACGGGACTTAAAGCATCAGCTGTTCACTCTTATGGAAACAGAGCCTGACTGGAATGTGAGGAGTGTGTCTAAGGTCTCTTATGTAACCGTGACATGGATTTGAAAATGTTCCTGCAGGGACATAAACAAACATCGACTATAAGTCTGTACTGTGTTCCCAAAATAGCACGGGCAGAGCTGAGCAGTGAAGACAATCACCAGGGCTATACAGTAACATGATTCCCATGTGAGCCACCAGGGTCACAGGCCAGCGTCGTGTTCACGGACAAACATCCAGTGGGAGAGCAGATGTTCAAAAGAAACATTCAAACAGGCTGAGGAGCAAACAGTTGAAAATATCGAGGTTTTAATTTCTGTAAAAGTGCATGAATCGATTAAATTACATTTGGATCAATCGACGTGTTGAAACCATGTTGTCCCAGGGACCAGGGAGAAAAGCTTGTTTTTCATTTTCCTAAGTTTTCTGAGCAAAAACAACCAACCTGCAAGTTTGAGGGTCTTTTCCTGTTTTTGGTTCTGTGCAAATCTCACTGCAAGCGACACAGAGTTCACCGAGTTCACACCACACGACCTGTTGTCCTGTGATCAGGAGTCTTGCAGTCATTGGGAGTTCAGTGCAGATTCTGGGCTGTGAACTCGGATCTGAGACCTGAAACCAAACTGCCCTCAACGTGTCGTTTTGCATGATCACTGCCGTTGTTTGGTTCCACCTGAGCTCAACTATTCCACTCTTTGGCTCAAACATTTAAAAAATCCTCAAGTGACCTAGTTTCTGTTTTTGTCAGTGTTGTGACTCGGACCGGTCGCTGCCTCTGGTACAGTCTGGCTGCCTCCACATTTACACCCATGTTCTCTGCCCAGACTGGTGAGGAGCTCCAGGACTCGGATCTCGTGCTCCATGCGAGCTTTCTCCCTCCTCTCCTCCCTCTCAGCCGTCTCCCTCTGCCGACGCTCCTCTCTCTCCAGCCACTTGGTCAGGAGCTCCTGGTGCCAGCGAGCCTGCTCCTGCCGCTGGCTCTCCAGCTGCACCAGCAGGCCCCGGGTGTCCGACACCAGCCGCTGGAAGCTCACCAGCAGGTGCTTGAGGACGGGTTCCGTGCCGGGGGACGCAAGGTGATGGCGGCCAGAAGTGGGGAGGGTGATAGGATCTGGTGGTGCAGGAAGAGGAGAAACGGCGGGCTGGGTAAGAGGAGGAGGGGGAGGAGATGGTGGCGGGTGCACGACGTGTGGGGAAGGAGAGCTGAAGCTGTTTTCCACTGGAGAACCTGACACGGGATAATAAAAACAAGAAATGAATCTGAAACTGTTTTAATCAATAAATCCTGACAAACATTTGTATATTTGATGATTTTCTTCACTTCATTTGAAATGAAGCGTCTTAAGGTTCAAGACAGTTGATCGTAAAATAACAACGATTTAAAGATGTCACTGTGGACTAAATCATTTCTTAAACTCAATCATAAAATATGAATCAACATGAAGACATATTTATTAACATCTCGTTTCATTTGAAGCTTTGCTGAGCTGAGTCAAAGTAAAATATCAACAGAACACATGAAAGAAAAATTCCTGATTATTTCAGTGAAATATTTCACTTTACTGAAATTTGGTGCAAAGAATTTGAATTTAAATAAATACACTACCTTGCTAATAATAAAATATTAAAAGTAGAAATGAATACTTAAAAAATATTGTAATAACATAATAAAATGGGTTTTTTTATAACATTAATATAACAATCAATACATACCACTTATCTCCTGGTGAACAGTTGATTCCAGATAAACTTGGTGGGATCTGTCTCTCGGACATTGTGAGAATCCTGCGTCCATAAACTCAAACTCATCCGTTGAATCTTCTCTCTCCTCCAACTTCACTTCAGAGCTGAGCTGCCAAGACTGACGAGCTCCTCTCACCTCCACAGAGCTCGACCGTTGTCTCCCCGTCCTCCCCAAAGGACCGAAATGGTGACCGCCGATCTCAGTATTAGAGTTAAAATCTTGTGGGATGCTTCCTGTCCTGTCGATGCCGTCTGCCATCTGTTCCGAAGAAGAAAATAACGACCCTCCCTCTCCTCCCACTGACCTCCGTCCCAACACAGCATCCATCTCTGCAAAGTATTTAAAAGTGCACTGCTGCGCGCTGTTGACGCTCCTCTGGAGTTTGGCCCTCACGTAATTGGCCTTGAGAGTTTTCACCCGAAGCCGACATTGGTGCGGACTCCGAGCGAAGCCCATTTCACTCATGCGGGCTGAAAGGTGTTTGAAAACATGGCGGTTGCGGAGGTTTTCTGCCAGGCTCTTCTGGACACGCTCGTCGCTCCAGGCGCAGAGCAGCACTTGCGTTTCCTCCACCGTCCAGTTAACAGAGCGTTCGGCCTCTCGCTTCCCTGCACAGAGATTTCAATGTGTTGTTGAAATGCTCTAAACACATAAACACATGTTGTATTCAAGTCTGAGGTGTTTGTTCTCAAAACGATTGAACTAAATCATTCGAGAGGAAATGACTTACTGCAGGATTGCTGTATTATGCAAGACTTTGTATAGCTGCAGTTATTTATCTTTAAATCTGTATTTATATTTGGCTTCCATCACCTGTATCTTTCAATCACCTTGTACTTGAAATACTTGTATTATGAATATATCCATTAGCACAGTCGCAGTACATTCCTATAATCTTGTGTTTGACTGTTTTATGTGCTACTGAACGCCTACATTTCCCTCAGGATCAAGTATCTATCTATTAAACTTTATTAACTTCTGTCAGGTGTACCTAATAAACTGGCAGCAGTGTTTCGTTATCGCAGTTTGAACTGTGAGGATCTGACTCCAGCAGCGATACACAGAAACAGGCCTCCGCTCATTTTATCCTCAAACCAGGACACTGAGAATCATCACATTACAACCATCAAGAGCAAACCTGCAGCTTTTCAGCTTCTTCCTCAGGCAAAATAATCTGAGACTTCAGCTCAGGTGAAGACACACACTGACTGTACACGAGCACATTTTCAGTCACACTGAGAAATTAGAAGACAACAAGGATTTCAGAGTTTTCACATTCAGATGATAACGAAGAGCATCACAGCTTTAAAGTCTCCTGATAACACCAGGGAGTCAGTGTCTGTCAGCGCTGCTCTGCACAGTCACCGTTTCAATTCATCCTCAGCAGAAGTCAGATCCTCACATTGGCCAATCAGAAGTACAGGGCTAGCTAACATGCTAACTCGGATACACGCATCGCAGCACAACAGGGGGCTCGTGTGTTATTGAAGTCGCGACGGGTGGACATTAGTGAGATAAGAGAACAATTCATAGTTCACCGACTTCAGAAGAGAGTGAAACCGACCGACTGAGACACTTCCGCCTCCCACAACAACATCCGGAGCTAACGTTAGCAGCTAGCGGACCTAGCTGTTAGCTCGGCCGTGTGAGGAGCAGCAGAATGAAACATGTCGGCGGTTCAGTGCTTCTCTTACTTCTCGTTGTCGACACGGAGTTTGTGGAGTTGATCATCGGAGGATTCATCTCGACGAGCCGCAGCAATGTAAACAAACGCTCCTCTCTTCCGGGTGACGCAGCGCGACGCGTGACGTGTTTCCGGTCAGGCGCAACAGCGAAATTAGCGAATACAAGGAAAAATCAAAAAAATAATGAAAAATAAATAAAAA